TGGCGGGCTGGATGCAGCCCGCAGGCCATATTTTGCGCACCCCTGTTTTAAAGTGCGTGTGTGTATATGTGTGTCCGTTTGCTCATATGGATGAATTCCTGTCAAGCTTTGAGTCACGCACACAAGTTCCACCCAACTTCCACTCTGTCGGCTCTCCTGTCTTGGAGACTCCCACGTAATACTGTGAATGCCTGCCTGCCTAGCTGTGTCTCTAGTGTATGTTCAGAACACCAAACAGCTATGATCCAAAAGCAGTAAAACCTTTCATTTTTTTGCTTCCCTTAAGACGAGCTGCAAATAGTGCACTGGAATAGGACCTGGGAAACCTGGGTCCTACTTTCAGTTCCACCAGTGACATGCTCCTTCCTAACCTTTCCTCTGCTGCCCTGTGCCCCTTTGCCTCTCTTCTTTTTTAATTGAGGCATGTCTCCACGTATAAGCAGTGCTGTGCACATTAGGCTTTGATTGGTCTAGGAACTCTGGGCACTACAATAATACAGTCACTAACATCATCTTATTAAAAATCAAATTAAATGAGCGCTGTGATCAGAAGCAATGTCTATGGAGATGATTCCTCTGGAGTGGTGGAGGGGGGTGATGCACACCTTTGTCAGGCTAATTTGTTTGTTACCAAACAGGCTAAATGCTGTTACCATTGTATGATTGCAGGACTCTGTGTACAGTGGGTCTGTAGGGCTGGAGTGTGCTTTGTTATCCAGTGATGAAATATCCGGGAGACATAGCCATGGTCGGCAAGCCTAGTTGGACCCGACAGTTTGTTTTGGTTTGGAGGCATGTGCAGACAGAGTTACATTTCGGTAAATTCTCAGTGTTGCTAGCATGGGAGCAGTGGTGCGGTGTGATATTTGAGTGCGTTCCCCCCTCACACCTGGAAGGTAGAGCTTTCTCCCTGCTACAGCCCTCTTTGGAAGGCAGATAGATGTTTGTGACACAACAAAATCCAACAAAGCCAAACTAGAGGTGAATTTTTGCTAAACCATTTGGCCTGCGTGAAATGAATTGGGTCTCGTTGCAGTTCTCAGGAAAGAAAGCACCCGTAAAAACCAATCTTAGATGGCTCTAGGAGACCCGCTTGCTGGTGCATCCTTTAGAGACCAGAGTATGGGGGGGAAAACCCCCCGTCAGACAGATGCATGAGCAGAAAAGCCTTGTACATCCATTCCACATGGAGGACTGGGCTCCAGATGAGAGCTTTCAGGCTGGCACCTTCCTCAAAAACCCTGTCAAAACTTGGGATTATTGGAGACTTAATTCTGAGCCTGCAATTGTTGACAATGCCCTTGCAGTTTACTGGATGGCCCTGGTAGTGATTTTTAATATTGCCTCTGAGAGAGGAAAACCATGCATGTGTTAAAAGCAAACCAGTCACTTCCTGAGAGGGGATATGTTGGTGTTTGCTTTTCTTTCATTTTGTCTTGTTAACGTTGTCAAAGAAAGCTGTGATCAGCTTCTCTGGCTCAGCCATGTAAGCCATATTTCACCTTGATGAAGACACTGAACTGCATGCAATTGCCAACTGAGCCTAGTTTCTATACCCAACCTGCAGTAAGGCCTCATAATACTCTGTGTCTAGAGCAAGTGCTTAGCCCTACTGCCTAGCTATGTCTGTCCATCTCATCAGAAGTGTATTGCAAAACACATAGCCATGTAAGGAAAGCATGCAGTTGGAGCACAGGATCGCAAATCCAGGAGCTCTCGAGCCTTCTGTTCTGTGGTCTGCTGCCTCACCTCTCTGTTTGCTTTCCCCTCTATTGAACTGCAGCGCTTACCTACTTCACAAGGGTGCCGGCAGGTTAATGTTTACAAGCACTTTGCAGAGGCAGTTTATTAATTTCCAGATCAGCAGGGGAAGAAAAATGTGGTTATATCGCTTCATAATTAGAGTATGGTGTTTGCTTAAAGGAACTTGTAAAATGATTTCCAGACTCCCCCCTTCCCCCTGCAGCAATTAATTCTCAGTGCTTCATTTAGGAACAGCTCCCTCCCGGCTTGTTGCAGGCAGTTTTTGATCACCCTCTTGTAGGTGGGGGTGTTGTACAAGAGTAAATCTTTTGTGTAAGTGTTAGTTTGCAAGGGAGGAAATCAAATATGCATTCACGCTTGAGTGCTTGGCTTGGGGCTTCAAGCTCATGGGCAGGAAAAAAAAAAAGGGGAAGTTGAGTGCTTAAATCTAGTAATCCGTAATTGTCTCAAGTTGCTATTGAGCGATTGTAAACATCTAGTAATCGATTTCTGGGCTCGGAGCCTTGGAAAATGTGGATGAAGGATCTTTTTGCAGAACACCCAGAAAAGAGTCAGCTGTGTGCTGCGTAGTTAAAGGCCTCTGCTTATCATCGCAGCCCTCCCGAGCCAGCACAAGCTGTTGAATGCTCACAGTTCAATGTACCCCAATGGTACCTTTGTCTTCCAGCATCGGTAATTTTTTTTTTCCCCCCAGGTACTTCTGAAACATCTGCAAACCGTTTAGGACAAATCTGTTACATGTTTGTTATCGAGTCCCACAGGTTTTGTTCTCTGGTCAGGAAGCTTTGTAGGGTTGAGTGATATACTTATTTTCCAGGGCCTTGTTCTAAATTACTCTGTTTCGTGAAATATCCCTTTCCCAAGTTGCCAGTCTCCCTAGTATTCTTAATGCTGGAAGAACTTTGAAACTTTAATATCCTCTACGTCAACACTGATTCTGTATATCCCCCGCCATTGCATTGCGCAGCAGTGAAACCACCCGGTCAATCTTCTGATCTTCTCTTCTCCATCCCTTTCAAAGTCACTATGTTTCCTTTAAGGTACATTTCATTTTCTGGATTGCGAGTGCTGTCCCAGATGTGTGACATTTGGTTGCAAACACAGCCGGGTAAAGTTTAAATCTTAGACTATTTAGACATTTCTACGATCATAGATCTGCTAAAAATAGATTTATTAAAACACTTTTTACTGGCCCTAAAAGAACAGTGTAAATTACCCCACACTGTCGTTAGTCGTATTTAAAATTAGGTACAATATTTTTTAGGTAGCTTTTTCTCTAGAATTTGAATTATGTAATGTACACAGAGAGATGCTTCAGAGCTAACTGGGACTCTGACAACCCTTACATTTTATGTAGGTGGAAAAACTCCTGTATTCCCCCGGAGATGCAAACATTTCAAATAAGTAATGCAAAGCTTGCCTGGGGGTTCATTGTTTAAGTGCCACAATGTCTCAGCCATCTGTGCAAGAAACTAGATTGGAGCTGGTTTGTCTCAGCTCTGGAATTAGTTTTTAGACCCTGGCAGCTGGCTTCTGGAATTGTATGCCCCAAACCAGTGGTCGGTTTGAATGCAGCCTCCCTGCTTCGTGCTCTGAAAGAGCGTATGGTTTTTGCAGCATGTCAGCCGAAAGGGCACACGCTTGTTAAAACTTTAATCCAAACCTTATTGCTTGTTGTCATAACGGATTATCCTTCCAATTCTCAAAATCAACAAAGCAAACTTGAGAGCACTTCTCCCATGTTAGACAAATCAGCTGGTTAATTGTCAGTCTGGCAAGCCCAGGGGGTGGGAGGAAGAGTGTTCCTTTCAGAGCATTTACCCTTTTTGCATTTAGCTGCTTCAGAAAACCAGCAGGGCACCTTCTTGTCACCCTGCTAGGACAGTTGTTTCAGTTTGCTTTTGGCCTGACACTGTTCAAGGTTTGGAAAGCATCTTTTTAATACATGGGTTTTATTACTTTTTTTTTTTTCTGTTGGGGGGGGGGGGGGGGGGGTTTTGTTTTTTAAATACATGGTTTTTTTTATTTTTTTTTTTTTCGGTTGGGGGGGGGGTGTGGGGGGTTTTGTTTTTTTTTACCTTTTTC